CTGAATCTTCTTACCGTATTGACCCCAGTAACCAGCTGTTGCCAGTTATTTCGTCGACCGAAACCATGGTGAGTTTCTCCAGTGACTTGAAGGCAGTCCAACCTGCTGCTGAAAAATTTCTCCCGCAGCACATTTTATCTTCCACTTCGTAATTTGTAGTGAATTTGGTGCAAGCACAGTCACGGAATACGGAACTGCAGTTGAAAGGTTTTGTACTTATGGGTAGTTGGCGCTTTTGGAAAGCTACCATTTTGAGGTTCGGTGCCTAAGTTCATAGCCACATTTCGAAATCGGGTCAGTTGTATGCTCATGGATCCACTATGCTTGATATGCGTCTTCAACAGAGACCTCAACTACTGAGTAGTCTTTACTCAGCGTGAGATGGTTGAGAGGAACGGAACTCGTATGAAAATCCCATTGGAATTACAGATGCAGGTTGCAGATTGACGCAGGCAATAAGTATAATCATTGTTTCACAGGTCAAAGAAAGTCTTGCAAACTAATCCGAACGATCACAGCTGTTTGAGTAGATTGCTAGAGGTCATTCAGTATACCTTATCCTACAACTGAGTAGTTTAACTCAGAGGCACACTTTAATTCACGTCGTGTGAGTCGTAGTGGAATGAGCACATTCTGTACTTTTCGATAGCAAACTCAGCTTTAAATTGAACATTTACTTTTGCAGTTTGCGACCAAATGAAGGAAACATAGCTTTATTGTAGAACTTAATTCCGATTCTGAGACAAGTGTGGGAAGCTCGTTGCACTTCTTGTCACATGGTAGCCAGAGGTAAGGCAGCTAAAGCTCGATTTCATTTGCATGAGACTACTAATTACCGCTTCAAATGCCCTAGCTGAAGTGCGTTCAGTCAACATTAGAAAACCAAGAAGACCTGTAAAGACAACTTGCTTGGCCTACTTTGTCGAGAATGGGAAACAGCTGACATATTATTCTAGTTAAAGTCGAATGAATAGTACGCAAATATGTTGTAGCTTGTTTTTCGTATCACTTAGCATTAGAAACTTTGGAAACTAAGAAGCGCCCCTCACTTAGCCGGCGTTGTAGCAGCGCGACAATTTACATCACAGCTTTGGCTATGAAATAGTCCTAGGTGGTGTTACTTGCCACACCGACACTAAAGAGGTCTGTTTCCTTGTATATGCTTCCAGATCGTTCCCTACTGTTCTCATCAGACCCCAACTCTTATGTTCAACAAGTTATACACCCAGCTAAACACTGGCGTTTAGCCTCAGTTAACATATGCCATCTGCGCTTTTAACAGGATGTCGTTTTTGCATATCAAACTGCGGACCATTTGCTTTTTCCGAAATTCGGTAACAGGGAAGCAAATGACAATGTTAAAGGCGGTAAGTCGATGGAAGGTTCTCCCTGCTGTTGCTGTTGTCGTGTTTCTTAACATGCTGAGAATGTAATTTGTGTTACCCGATTAAGTTACCGTCACGACGCTGTTTCCAACGACTATGGTTAGCTTCTGCGAGGCGTCGGATTGGTCTGCAGTCGCTTCACCGAAGTTTTCCTACCAGAGAAGAATTTACTATCCAGTCTAACGTGTACTCGTAAGACCATAGTAACTTCAGCTGACAGGTTAGGCCCAAGATGTTCCATTGCTCTTCCGGCATCTAGAATCTGGATTCGTCCATAATCATTCGCATACGGTTCATCTGCACTCGACAGCGTACACGCGCCACAAGTCCTTAGACTTAGATAGGGAACTTAGCGCCATCACAGCTATCATTGTCACTTTTCGCTGCATGTACTATGCGCTGGTTATTCATCGCCGCAATTAACGTCACTAAACGGTCTATGAATTCGGGGTATAGGATGTTCGCACGCGACCGTGCTCTTGAGTGAGCCTTTGTCCGTCGCAGCTGAATGTTGAACCCACTCCTGTCGATGAAGATGCATTTCTGCTCAGATGTTGAGAGAATTATCCCGTCGGCTTACGTTTTTCATGGTACTGTTGACGCAATCGTGGCTCAAGTGGTATTTTTTGTAGTATTTGGCTCTCTGAAGTCGCTGAAAATCGTAGTTATGGACAAACCCGTCTCCGTCTCTTTAAGTCTCTGGGGTAGCTGTGCCAAAGTACCTCCGAAATGTCTTTCAATGGTACAGGCGACGTGCTGAATAAGATCGCAGTCAACTCTCCTTGATATTTCCTCTATAAATGCGCCAAATATTGGGGCCTTCTTGCCAGTAGGTATCGATGGTGTTACCAAGTGTGCTGCTGTTGATATGGACGACTTGGGCATCATCGTACGTGGTTTTGCCGATGACGAACACAAGCTTGATACGGATCACTATTCGCACCAAGGAGGTTCATTCGCGTTGAAGGCATCTCGTCGTTGGTTGCCGACTTTTAGTTGTTTCGTGAAGAATTTAAGTCGGGGAAGAAATATCTTTTGATAATTCGGTAGGCCAATAATAGCTAGACTAGGATTGGTTAAGTCATAACATCAGAATTGTTCACGTATCCGACTTCCAATGCATGGCTGGACAGTCGTATATACGCACCGACAAGCATATACATGCTTTACACTCTGGCCGTTAAGGTGACTAGATTAACTGGTTCAATATCTTTGATCTCTCTCAGTGGTTCTCAAGGTTTAGAATTTGTTGCCCCCAAAGCGGGTTCACTATAAACAAGTACCCTCCAGTTTTTGTTTAAAAATCGAATTACCGATTAACCGTTGCATATTTGCTTTAACTTACGGAACTGTATATTATACTTAATTACATTTTATCATTCAAATAAAGAAAACAGTCATTTTCAGTCACATTTGCCGTCAAAAGGTGATGTACGCTAACGAGACGGTTGAGATTGCTTAGTTCCAAAAATCTCCGGTGCCTTTGGTGTGGTTCCGCCTAATGCGCATCGGAAGTCGTGTTCCATATTCAGAGAACATTGGCTTATCATATTTTCCAACTATTCCTTCCAAATCCGGTCTAGATAACTGCTTTCCATCACCAATTTGTATCCATAGGTCCTGAACACCAATCGCCAGTTTTGTCCGTTCTAACTTGTAAACGTTCGGTTTCTCCTTCCCTGATTGGCTGAGCTATCGTCTCACCTTACTGTTCAACCTACTCTGCAATTCGACCCAGTGAACGAATGCCTGACTCAAAAGAACAACTGTCGACGAGCGCTTCGATAGGGTGCAATTTAGTACTGCTGCTTAACAGGATTGCATGCGTATTTTATGTGATAAAATTTATTGGCGAAAATTGTCGAACTCACTGACCACTCACTAGTGCTTTACACTGTTAGTTACTCAATAGTCATTAGGTAGTTAGTTAATTGTTTTGCTATAGACGCTTTGGTCAGTAAGTTTGTTTGGCGACAGCTTGATGACTCAATCCATGTACACATATATTGACGGCTATAAAACTCCATATTACTTCGTTGGATGAGAACTACTAATCCAGGTGCATGTTCCTCGTGGTCAAGTGCCATCGCCCTTTCCTTTACGAGACGAGTTGAATTAGCCAGCTCACAAGGTTAATTGAAGCGTAACTTGCATGAATTGAGTAACGCCTTAAGTGGTTTTTAAATTTATTTTGGTCTGAATGAATTTAACTTTAAAATGATATATTTCTACATAGGAATAGTCGTTATGATTGCACTGTAGGTATTTATACGATTTTCGTACTCGTTATTTGTTTAGCAACTTCCACCTTTAAGTCACCGAGTAAGTTCTGACAGTGGTTAACTTCGATATTTTGGGCAGTCATCAAACTTGGATGACAGCATCCAGTTCCGGGTTTGCTTGTCGCAACGCCCTCCACTGAGATAGCCACAGGACGCTTTCGGCTACGGAGGGACTATGGGTGGCTTGCGCTGCATCACCCACAACTCCATCCACACATACCATATCCAGAGTAAACCCGAAGGTATAAGACCGGGAGGCATGTGTATGGGAACCAGGTTTCATCAACGAAGCAGGCCCACACTCATTCAACATGTAGAGCAGCAGCATTTCTGTCTATCTATGTAGGGAGCCATACGTACCAAAGGTACACAAGTCTGTGGCTGGACCGTAGTCCTCTCCAGATTGGGTGGAATCACTCTTTGAGCCTAACACGGCCACGAGAACCGTGCACCTCGTCTCGCCAGCAACGACTTACAGTCTCCTGGAGCCAGTAATCAAGAAGGAGAGTGATGAAAAGGTAGGCGCCTCGTCAGCATTCACATCAAGCGCATCCACATCGTGGATATCAAACAACCAACGTTGAATTTAAAGGAAAGCAAACACACAAATTGGACACAGATTATGCAGTAGAGTAACAGAAATGAACAAAAGAAATAAAAAGGAATGACTTTTATCCCGGTGATAAGGACCTAGTTTAACTGTAAGTTGGTTTAACCCAACTGCGTTGAGAAAGCATTATGAATGCAATATTGACCTCAGCGTCGAACTTAGATCTTCGGCTTCTGTGTCCGGATTTGCCTGTCACTGTGCCCTCGACGGGGACAGCCACAGGACGCCTGCACGTACAGAGGGACCATGGGTGGCTTGCGCTGCACCACCCACAGGTCCACCCATTCACCCATATCCAGTGTAAACCCGAGGGAATAAGACAGGGAGGCATGCGGATGGGAGACACCTTTCATCTACACATGCTGTGTAGCATCTAGGCCAGCTAGTGAAGAATTCAAGTAAGATTTCTCTACTGTTTGCACTAATCGTTCTCCAAAATGGTGTTTTAACTAAATGGCATTATGATTTTGTATTCTACGATCATAGGAATCATGATCCCAACAACAGCAATGTAAATCCAGCAGGAAAACGGTTGTTATAGTCGCAGTGCAAACTTTCGATTGATTTACCCAAATAACCTATTGTCAAGCATATTTGCTGGACCCAAATATGCCCTTTGTAAAAACTGTCATCATGCATATGGCCAGTTACTACATGCTCATCCACAACTTAACCTGCGCTCCAATCTCCTAAACTCTTTTGTTCCGTTCTTTTCTGCCACAGTTTTCGCAGCCATGACTATTGTTTTCGCAGTGTGTCGTGGGATCGAAGTCGCCATAACTGGAAAAGAGCACCTACGAATAATTGTATACACCTTCAGCAAAATCCTGTTTATCATTGTACAGCCCATCTTTTTATTGTGGCTACACAGAGTGAGTTTTGAAACAGTCGTTTTCGGATGTCTGCCAACCACCAAATTAACCACGCCACACCTACTGTGCAGTTTTGTGATTTCCACATTCAAAACTGCACTAAATTGGCTGTACGCTTCAGTAGATTAAGCACTTCATGCACTTTTTTCTCTTCCAGTGTAGCATTCACAAACATGCTCGTTTGAACCTTTTTTCTACCAGCAACATCCAGCTAACCAAAGAATTATTTTTCCGGGTGACAAGGAAACCAATATTAAACAATCAATTAAGAGTTAATTACATTAGATTCCAAATCCGGTAATTTTTCACATGCTCGGAAAAGCAACAGGCTGCAGTTTCAACATACCACTGTCTCTTCCGTTCAAGAATAGCACCGACGGGGTTTCGATTCGGCGGTTGCAGTTTTTTATCCTTGCATACTTTTGGGTACGCCATCTACTGCGAATACATCCCTTTTCTTGTGTGGTTCTCGGTATTTTGTTTATCCGAAACACTATGAAGTCATTAATGGCATCCTACTCTGCAGAAGTTATGAAATCGTTTCAAAACGCCCTATGTCGAATGCGGTAACAAGGTCAGAAACAAGATAAAAGGAGTTTTTAAGGAATAACTTGATAAAATGAACAAACATCGCGCTGGTTGGCAAGCCCATCTCAGACGCTGTTCTGTAACTAGAGAACAAATCTCTCTGATTATCTCTAGCAATGTGCATTCTTTCTTCGGTAAAATCGCCTACCTTACTGCCAGTATGATTCTAAAGATTATGCAAATAAAGGTAGCGTGATAATTCAAGGAAATTGGCTTCATCTTGACCTGTAGGACGAGGTTATCCAACTCGGTAACTATGGTGTCATAAGGGCGGATAGACTTGGAAAGCCGCATAATCGTGGAGTAGAGACCTCATGAATTACGTCCACCAGATCTGGCGTAAATCGGTAGCCTTGTTGTTTATATACTCAAAATCAAAGGTTAGCTGCCATTTAATTGAATGTGAACCAAAGTTTTTGAGCGGATTTCTTTCTCTAGTCATTGGAAATTGTTACGTAGCTCCTGACACACCACCGTCTACGTTGAAGAATTTTGCCCATCGTTTTCCCTAGCATTACTGCCTAAAACTGAGTGCTCCCTCTGTATCGTTGTTGGTGACTTTGACAAGTGTGACAAGACATTCATCCAACTGCTCGGTCTAATAATTATGATAAACCTCGAAAATAGGCTAAATGCACTGTTGGATTATGTCTTCACAAATAAAATGTTGTTTTCCCCACTAAACAGCACCTCTAGGAAACTCAGATCACTACATTCTGAAGCTGCATCCAGTCAGGTGTCGCAAAACCAAATTTGTTGCTTTGGGAAAAGGTCATTCGAAACAGTCAGACGGCGAGACTGCTCGACAGAAAATATACGAAATTTCAAGCGATGTTAGCTTCAACAGACTTTTCAGTTCTCAGGAATGAAAATCTGTCTTTGGAGTACGACCACTTGACCGAATAAATTAACTTATGCTTCGATCTTTACTACCTTGTTGGGACCATCTAACCACGGATGGCTAGATTTTCTTCGCCGTTGTTGAAACAACTTAGAAAGAAACAAGAAGCCTATAAATGTAACAAGCCTGCGAATGTTAAAAGACCCTCTTTGGCAGTCAAATATGAGATAAAATGATTCAATCACTTATACATCGCGATTGCGTTGGGCAATCCGATTGTCGAGATCTTTGGAGAAATTTGAATCACCTATATGACCAAGGTTCCCATAAGCGCGTTGATAACTTGGATGTGAACGTAACCAATGTTGAGTTCTGTTCTTGTCAACAGCATATATTTTCTTTGTCGCACTTCAACAACGTAGGTCTGACACTCACCTTTGATAGGTGTAATATTTGATGAGAATGCAATCTTGAAATTATTTTAGGCTACTGGCCCCGATGCATTATCACCGCTTGTTTTAAAGCACTGTGCAGATTATCTTGTGAAACAGTTGACCATCATTTTTAATTGATGTCTTTTGGATGGCACCGTCTCTAACATTTAGAGACCTGTGCCAAAGAACGACTCCCACAAGTATCGTCTAATTGTATGTATATCCGGCTGTTGAATGGTCTCCAAAAATCTAATAGCTTCGCAGATTGTTACACACACCAATACAGGCAACGTATATCAGTTCGAATATAAACACAGCCACTCCACACTAGATGCTATATCATATATTGTGCATTCCGTAGCATCTGCACTGGATGAAAAATGTGGGGCATTACGCTTTCTGTTTTTCGACTATACAGACGCTTTCTGCAGCGTTGACAGTTCAGTCCTGCCTAATCAACTGTTTGCGAATCGGTTTACAACAAGTGTTTGCAGCATAGTTAAAGACTACTTCATAACCCGCAACAATCCGTTCAGATTAATGGGGCGAAATCTTCTGTGTTGATCTCTAGCCGTGGTGTTTTAAAGGGAGTCATCCTCTCACCCGCTGCATTTTTTGATACACTGAAAAGCTCGCCATGCATTTATTGAGTGCAAGTATGCTGATGGTGTCGTTTTAGTATGCATTATTTCAACCGGTGGGATATCTACTCTTCAAAATGGTGATCGTCCCGATCCATACTTTTAAACACTGCTAAACGTCTTGACGTAATATCCTCGTTCTCCGAGCTGACAAGTTACCATTTGTTTTTGACGCCACTTATCCACTAGCATTGAGTCACCAGTTCGACCAGTTCAATCCCGAAATTTATCTTGGCCTATTCAGGTTGCCATAACGTTTTGTAAGTTTACACGGTTGTTATTTTAAGCCCTTAGACTCAAAGTAATTTCATTTCCCTGTGATCTGATTCTTAGATTTATGACTGCATGCATTCTACTGCATTTGCTCTACCGTTCCCTTGTAATCTTCTCCGGGTTACTCAACAAAGACCGTACATGAATAGTACGGGCCATATAGATTGTTTCCAGCAGCGATGGACTTTCTAGAGTCCATTGTGGATTTTATTGTTAACAAGCATGTAGAGGCTTGTACCAGCTTTTCCTTCAAAATCCGAAAGGACCCTCTTCTACATCCTAACCTATCAGTTACACTATCTATTTCCTCTACCCATTCCAAATTTATGGTCCTGTATTCTCTTACTTTATCTAACCGAAATTCTGTTTTGCCTTAACTGTTTCGCTTGCTTTTGACCAAAAATTATTTGCTCTGGTTATACGTCTAGTCACTTTTTAGACTTTATTTAACCATAAGTTCATGTATTTCACGATTCGAAGTGATATTGTGACATGCCGAAAAAGCAGCTACGCGGGTGTATAAACCATATTTTGACTTGCTGGGCGGCATCAATAGTGCGCAGCCAACGATCCATCCGGATTCGAACCCACGATCACCTGTTGGATCCGATGGAGTCACCCTACTGGTGATTCCCAACCGTTTGGAATGTAGTCTAGCGACTTCCACCCACGTGGAGGACTATGTGGTTTGGAAGCTGGTGAGACGAGCTATCCATTAGTTGCCTCAGAAACCCCCTACTCCTCGGTACACATAAACGTCAAGTAACTTCTGGCTTGCTCTCTCCCAGCTCTGCACCCCACGACCGACTGGTCCGTCCTGATTTGGACACATTAGGTGAAGATAGCCGAGCTGGAAGTGTAACGGCACGTGGTAGTTGGCTGCCATCGCCGTGATCACTATGCCATTGAGCTCTGTGAGCAGCGTTTGTCAGTGGTTAGTTTAAAGTTAGGTTTTGGATCATCCGCTGTGTGTTGTGGTTTGCGACACACAATCAGGCAATCTCTACCTGCCGAGTCCAAATCGGGACGAAATCGTTCGGTCGTGTAGTGCAGTGATGGGAGAGAGCAACACCAAAACCTTCCACTTCGGTGACGGTCCCAGTGATTTGGATGGCAGTAACTGACTTCAAAGTCAACCGAGGCCACAACTGAGATTGCGTACAATCCAACACACAAAAGTGGTACCCCAAAGCCCAACAGTTAAGTAGCTTTATCGCGAATTGTTGAGGATGGGTTTAGCGTAGAGTTGATTAGTTTATTTTACTACTTGCTAGTAGTCGGATGTTAAAGGTAATTTCTGCTGTGATGAAATAGCACCTGAGCTACCGGTAGCTCAGGTGATAGAGCAGCGGACCAGAAATTCGTGGACCGGGGTTCGACTCCCCGTCGCGGCATATTATTGTGCGTGAATTTTAATCGTGACTTCTACTTTCTACAAACTTTACCCTACTCACGGGGTTCGACTCCCCGTCGAGGCATATTATTAGCATGTAGTCACCAAGAAAACTTTGGGGACGCAAGGCTACTGGAAAAGATCCGCATATACAGTCCAAAAGTGGCAACTTGACAACGAATCCGAATTTGTACGCGGAAAATATAGGGATGCCTTGTAGGTCGGCAACAGCCGAGACCACATATCTTTAAGCGTTATAAAGAGAAACTTAATTACAGCGAAGCGCGCTAACCTATTAAGTTAATAGCCCGGCGGCGCCCAACGAATCGCAGGTTGGCACAGGCAACTGGAGGTTCTTTCCGCAGATTTTAAATCATAGAGTAACATCAACAAATAGTTTAGCGGTGAACCTTTGCAAGTAAAATCCAGTTTTATCTCACCTCCAGCAAGCACTTTTGCTTCTTACCACCTTATATCCTCATGTGCCGCATACCAGTTCCTATCATATTGGCTTAAAGTTGATTTTGGTAATAAAAAACTGAATGACTTGAGAGCGAAAAGTGCGCTGATCCCCTTGCATCAAAGTTGGTTGATTCTACTGTTTGGTTAGGTAGGCGTACTCGTGTTGAATGGCTTGGTGTCCGTTGGCAATCCGTTAACGATCGTACGAACGTGTGCTCGCCATGCTTCTATGGATAGACAAACGCAGAAGGTGAGATGGAGTAGTAAGATTGGACGCATTCAACTGGGAGCACGTTATTTCTCACTGGACAAGAAAACTAGCTCGGAAACATCCGATATATCTGGTATGAAACTTTCTACGTGCTGTTCATGTGACACCATTAGTACGTCCGATTGCTGTCGGTTTGGGGGACTTTCGTTTCGGTAGATACCTACAGCAAGGTGGCGGTGTCAAGACATATCCCATTTTGTTCTTGTATTTAACCTACAGCTGCGGCAGATGTACTGTTATACTCGAAGTGCACGGTGTGTGTAATCGTTCTTCACGTGGCTCTGGCAGGTCAACAGCAGGTGGAGCAACATTACTCAACTCATTTACTGGCCAAACTGTGGTTTTTTCTGACGAAGCCCAATGGCGTTTTCCCAATGCTTGGTTATTGTCAACTTCAGCGTTTGTAAAGATTAATGCGGAGTACCTACGAAGCTTGCTGTATCGCCGCCGAATGTTCACATTCCACGACTGCAGAGAGAGCACGAAGACGAGCCAGGACGGAATTATTTATATGGGAATACTGTTTCCTTATATAGGGTACAGCAGTAAGTGAAACAAAGCTACGAAAGCTCATCGGGGCCAACCAACAATACAGGAGGTGCGAATAAAAAGCAATAAAAGTAAGAACTAACTACGTGTGCCCCTGAAAACGGTATTAGCTGCACCTGAACCTCTAAGAAAACATGCATTACAAACGACGACGCCGTCGATGCAATTAAAATAATGATGCCTTAAATAAATGTCAAGAAACAGACGGCGGTGAAGAGAAAACAGTTAAACAAAATTGTCACAAAAATAGGTATCCATCCTCTCAACCCCACTGACGTGATTATATCCCACTCTGTGGTCATCACAGCTCACTAGGGTGATTTCGACAAGAATAGATGCGCTAGATGCGCTCAGAACAACCGAATGCATGCTACAAGCGTTTGCGATTCAACCCAATAGAAAGCGATCAACCCTATATGCGCTTTTCCAATCCAAGCCAGGCTAATTCGCAATGAAAAGCCTGAAATTTCTAAACATCTTTAATGTCTAATAAAACCACCGATGTCTTTGTTTCATTGTTAAACTTAACTAATCGTACTTGCGATCCAAACAAATATGATAAGTTAAATTTAACGATCGCACTTATGGCCATACAAGTGTTTTTGAATTATCGTGCATTGAGGTGAAATATGAATATGCATCCCTTAGCTGCGAAAACAACGTTCTGTTGGTTAGTCATACTGCAGTAAGATCGGCAAGCACAGACAAGGAAGGGTTGCAAAATCACCAGTGCTTGATGAAAAATGATTAGTGAGAAGTTTCCGGACAATCCCTCAGCTTTTAGGCTACCATGACAAGCAGCCTTGATTATTTGGCCGTGTGCACTATTGGAGCATAAATCCAAACGGTGCTTTCCCCTGTTCACTTATCTGATCCACTGACTGATGCTTTTCGGCGTGAAATCTCCTTAGTGAACGGGGGAATTCGCATTGGACAACGTTCCAGGCGGTGCCGACAAAGGACGCTCAACTCCACCATTGCTTCACTTAGAAACCCACCTTCCCGTATCCGTTTCTGTTCTTAACCCATGTCCAATGAGGTCCGCGTTTGCTCCGAAAAATCCAAAATTACGTAGATAACCTCGACTTAAATGCTTCCGCCGGAAATAGCCATGCCACTTTCAATTATTTCCTAGCTTAGCATAATTTTGTATTCTGCGAACTTGGGGTGCTTTTCGAACCCTTTAGGTTGCTTACGCACAAGGATTGGTTACCATACCTACACCGTATTTCTGGACTTTCAGGTGTTAAATCATCTTGGGTCTGGGACTGCACTGCAAAGCTCTTTATTTAATTATCATTTCCTTACTTCTTCTCGTTTAGCTCGTCGTGTTGGCCAACGTGCGGGCTTTCAGCTTCCTCCTGCTTCACCTGCTCACAGTGAACCTGTGTATTTGGGTCAGCTCCGCTGTTGAAAAGGTGTCCAGTACCATGATCGATGAAACGCATAATTCCAAAGCTATAACACATGAAAAATTGGTCAAGATCAGCGGATATTTTTTACCCGCAATCCCAGAATACTGTGCTATCGCTGCCGCGGTCATCTACGAGATGTGTCAGCGGGTTGGTCAGCTAAAACAAGTCGAAGCACACCATCACGTAAGATTTTGAAGCTAGTTCTACAACTCCAAATGTTACGTAATCATAATTCTGGTACACATTTACACCTTACCCTGCCTGTTGATTTAAATATTAAACTCTTTCCTGCTTGGTAAGGATGGATATCAATCATGTCTAACCATTTTAAATGCCATATTGATAACTGGTTGTTGTCCACAATAAGAGTTTACGATTAAACATCAGAAATACCCATAGTAACGTAGGCTACTTGCACGTCGGAAAACTAGCTATTTTCGTGATGAATCAATTGGTTCACTATGTGCTGTATTTCGTGAGGCACTTCTGTTGCTTAGTTCAATATTTTGTTTACAGCCTACCCTGGGGTACAGCCTCTAATGTTTGGGTCCATTAGCTCCTGCTGAAACACGTTCAGCCGAATGCATAAAGCGACGAGATTGACGTTGGTCAGCAAATATTGGAAATGATGCAGCGGTGCTTTTGTCAAACATATTGTAAAGCCATCAATATTTAAAGGTTTACGCATGTCAATCGGACATCTAGAATAGCATCGGAATGGCAGTAGACGGCAATTTTATCTCACTAGTTTGTCTTAGCAACTCTTTTTACTCAGATCGCTACGGAGTTTCACCCTACAATCACATCCTTACTTGAGATTGATTGAAAGCAGTAAATGCGGGTAATGATAAGAGATCATCGTGACTGGACACCAGCTACTACATAGCGTGCACATTCACCACTGCTGTGCACGCGAACTAGATTGAACACAAGAGCTACAACCCCAAACCAAAAATGCGCTCGATTACCGAGTTGAGCATCACGCTACCAAGGAGATGCATCAATGTGTAGCAAAGGTCAAGGCAGGACATTCATCTAGCATGCTTAGTTCACAAAGTACACCAGTATGCAGTCACTAGGGTTAGAATACTTCTGTCAAATCATCAATTAAAAGCACCACAGGGTTTTGTAACCGGCTATTTCTGCACTGCTGCGGCAACTCAATGTGATGGTAATACAACATCGGCAATCGCAAAAAGCAACTCTTCGCACTGGCAGGGGATTCTCGATGTTTCTGGCTCAAAACACTGCACTGTACGAACGGTTTCTTCCCCACCGCCTCCATAGGCGTGTGCAAACGGCCTGTTGGCACAAATGGCAATGATGCTATTAACCTGCGCTACAGACAGTCGGATACGCTGCGCTAAGCGCTCGCCGCTTGCGTGCGTACGTGTGTGTGTACTCCGGCTATTGGCTGTCTGTCATAGACTTTGGTGAGCTGATGCAGCGTCCATGTAACTCACAAACATACGAATGCCTTGCAATCCATTTGGTGTACAGTGGTTCTTACCGTTTACGTGAATAACTGTCTTACTACACATCTGTTTTCTGATTTCGTCCCGGTGTAACACTCTATCTTCACCCAAAATGTCTTAACGAGGAAACGCTGTCATGGAGTGTGGAGCCGGGAAAGACCAGTCATCAATTTTCCTGCCATGGATTTGGAACTATTAAACAATATTTTAAGAAAAAGGAGAATCCCTCCAGCTTGTGCAATAAGAATTAGTAGGTAGGAGCATTTCTTTGCTAGTTCTATTCTCAATGGTACAATGGAAAATTATGGGGACGGGTATCGTTGGCTTCAGCACTGCTCAGAGCTTCCAACAAGTGCAGAATATCCGGTATTATGTAGATGGATTTTTGTAAACTACTCATTTACTGTCTGTACCGAGAAGCGCGAGTAGCCCACTTCAACCGAACAACTGCTTTTGATTTATTTATCATTGGTTTTACTACCAATATATATTATAAGAAAAGTAATGTTCATTCTAGGGTACAGAGATTTACATTTGACCCGACAAAATTAAACAGTTCTCATAATGCGCGTAGGGTGATAAGGTGACTTAAGGCATGTGGTAGGCGAGAGCTGATTTTCTCTGGCTGACAACCGGACAGGCTAGTTCTAATTTTTGAACAAGCTTCTTATATATGCATAGATTCGAGCTTGATGATCTGATGCCTACAGCTCCAGTGATAGCAAGCATCTGGGCTCCTAACCAATGGTTTTGTCGTGATGGAGCGTTGTACCGAATTTCGAAAACATTGTTTGCCAATATGATGCTCACTACCTATCAAATGGCTAGTTACCGCACTTAAATTAGACACGCCTTGTTGATTGATAAGCCAATTCCATGGATGTTTCTTAACTTGTTTCATAAGGGCCTAGTCGTTCGTCCAATTTACCTACCCCCACAGGAGCAGTGGAGAGGCACGAACCCACAGTTATCAGGCGTGAAACATATGAGACACTCATAGCGTGTCTTAAATGCGTGTTACGTCACACAATAACTGGATTTCTGCTGAAGAACATGCTAGTGACAATCAAATTTTTCAGATTTCAAACTCACCATGCTAACATGTATTTCCCAGGGGTAAGGGAATCAGCACAGCAGTGTAGCCGGGTGACACCATGGATGTCAGGATGTAGAGAGAGCAAAATATAAAGGTTTATTCACAGTGTGAATCGGTAAAGCTTGTGGCGTAAGTTCGTTCGAAGTCAAGCTTGAATTACATTCTTCACTAGATGATAACTTCGCTAGAGCGTCGCATTTGTGAATACAGTACTGTTTGAAAATCCAAAATCAACCTAGAAGGAATGACGTTAAATTGTGACTAATCCCCAAAAATGACCATATCACTTATTACATGTAGCAGAAAGTACAGTAATAATCACTTTCTTAGGCATTATGTGTAATATATTCCCTCAAGCTAGCCCCATGGTACTTGCATGTGTTCCATTCGGTATTTCCACCATCCACTCTATTTTTCAGCGCAGCGAAGAGCCCGGTGACAAACGAGGTGTACGTCACTACTTTGGATTGATGTTTGGTGTCGCACTTCCCATCCTTGTTCTCATAGTGGTCTTGTTCCTGGAAAATGGAGGAACAAAAATCCATAACTCCCGTTATATTATTCACCTGACCGAAATGAGTGGAATCCACTTGATCGCCTTGGTTCTCTGTGTAACTGGTATCCTACTGGTACGGCGTCTCAAATTCTCGGTCAACTTTGCCAAAAACAATTTGGATGAAAAGCTCCTGCTCATAACGTTCTTTTTGACATTGAATTTCTTTGTCGCTTCCATTGTGTTGTGCGTGGTCTATCTGAGCAGCGATAAGACGACAGGAGGGGAAGAAGCATACCTGTATGCGCATTTGTTCAGTTTGCTACTAGAGCTACTCCAAGTAATTGTGCAGACTTACTTCATTCACGATATGTTCTACCGATGCTGCCATCATGAAGCGTACAAACAGAGTAAACCTGGGCGTTTAGTGATTGCTATTTTGTCCTCGCTGAACTTTTCCCTATGGATGATTTATAGCTTTCAGGTGAGTTCCCTTTGCGCGATGTTAACCTTCAGCTGGGCTCATTTCGGATGGTAGCTGTGCGAACTTAATGTCCACCTGCTTAGCCGGCGTGCCTCTTGTACTTGCTTTTCTTTTTTGTGTATCTGGCTATAGAGCTGAGGGGTTTTCCGCCTCTAGCTAACCTGTATAGTGAGGATGATGAAGGTCCACCTACAGGCATCACCTAATCTCTATATAATTAGATAAACAAATAAATAAATTATTTATTCTTGACAACGCAAAGATTGCCTTTACACATGTGATCAGGGTTATATGACATGACTGATCACAAATGTACAAAATTACATCATGTTTACCACACCGCTAAATGTGTGTGCATGAGTGCATATGTGTGTGTGGCTCGCGCTTGCATATCTACAAGCCGCTGCATTTTTGGCTTTTTGGTTGTGTTGGTAATGTGAGAATGGGTTGGATATGATTATCTGGATGTTCATGGGGCAGTGAATTTAGTTTGTGGCGAGTCACAACCACCACATCACCGTGTTGATATACTGACATGTGGCATTTTATAGGGGGGAGCTTATCAGGCGAAAACCCATCACGTCTTGGAACACTGCTACCTACCAATTTGTTGGAACGGGTAACACCCGAACCACTCAGCAGGCGCCACGAGGAGGTTGCTTGGTTAGCCAGTCAGTTAATGTGGTCAAGTGGGGTAGCATCTTAAGGCACCTCATCAGGCTGAAAACGGAACTGATAGTCAACACATTGTTAATGGTCAGTGCCTCATTTAGACCGATTATTTCATCTTGTTTTAGCACACAAAGGCTTGAATCAAGGAGGTAGGCCGTCCACCATCCAAAACGGAAAATCACCTTCACTGGTGGTCCACTTCAGGCTATTAATTCAGACTGCTCCTAGTGCTAACGGGAGATGCTTCATGTCCTCCCCGTGAAACCTTTTAACATGAATTTGTCGGAAGCAACATTGCTGTAGTTCTTCTAACACAGTAGGATGTCTGTGACAAAACCCACTCGGTCTGTAAATGAAAGAGGAAACGTGCCTGGTTTCATGCTGAATGTTATGTACACGAACTAGCAACCGCGTTTGAAGCTTACTTGAAACTAATTGTGTCCGAGTGAATTAGGAGGTATGCTGGGTTTCAGCAGAACAAATATTCCCATTACATTTTTCATAATAAATACCAGAGATCGATTTGTGGGTGGAGAATTCTTTGCGGGCAAAATCTCATCGGACCCCTAGGTTTATATGATAGATTAGGTGTGGAAGTGCCGTAAAGAGCTAGATATTGATCGCACGCAATTTGTACGATAGATTCAATAACTTCAAGTCACAGCTACAGATAATGTACCCAGTCAAGAAATATCATAGCAGGGAATAAGCATTCGAAAAGCAGGAAGATAGTCTACTAGAAGGGTAATCAGATAGTTAAGTAATTGCTCCTTGGCTAAGGAAACAAAACAGGCCGTACGTATTTCTTTTAAACTCACACCAGGTTTCAACTGGCGAGGGTTTATAGCCTCTGCAATAGACAGCAATTGTTTGAGGAAGCATCGTGAGTAGCGTTCAGGCAATGAGTAGGTCAATTTGAAGTCATTCTCTGATACCGCATGGCCGTATTCAAGGAGGTGTGAAATCGAGCTGTTAGCGGATTTCATTTCACCTCTGTAGAACCACATTGAAAATGCTCGCGCATCCTCTGGGATAAACGCTTTAAATGGGACCGACGTATCTTGCACTATAGGAACACGAGCATTGGTACACAAGCATTGACCGAGCCAAAGAGAGTAGTTCAGTTTTCAAGGGCCTGGCAAGCAGTGGCTTTTTGTAATACATTATTCTCAAACTTGCTGCGGGATGTTTTTTTATGGTCGTCCTTTAGGCGTCGCGATTGCAGATCAGCGGGTGCATCGCCATTAAATGGTAAATGCATGAGAAGTGTTTTCTTCGGAGCAATGCTCCTAGGTGGTTTACATTCACTTACTCTCAGATGTTTCCGGATAAATGTATCCGGGTATCCATTTTCGCTATGGAGGTCGCTAATTTTCTGCCGTTCCTCTTTGACGTTACCTGATGTGCAGATTCCGTGTGCCCTGAAGGCAAGAGATTGTACCGTACTCCGTTTGTACTGCAATGGTATCGCGTTGTGGATGTTATTATATTGTCCAGTCCATGTGCTTCTGCTGCTACATCCATCGAAGTTTCGGATAACGTTTATGTCCAGAAACGAAAGCTGATCTCTGGAATCTTGTTTGCAAGAGAAGCGGATTTGCATGTGTGCCATTAGAGACTCCCAGCAACTGCAAGGTTTGCTTTTCAGAATTGTAAACTGTGAAGGTCTTATCATTCTAGCAGTCTATCTTCTTTCTTTGCGAGCGCTTATTACCTACTATTCCATTTGTTGTCTGGGTACCTTGTCTGTAGCTGTGACTTGAAGTTATTGAATCTATCGTTCAAACTGCGTGCGATCAATAGTTAGCTCTTTACGGCACTTCCACACTTAATCCATCATGTGAACCTAAGTGTCTAATGAGATTTTATCCGCAAAGAATTCTTCACGCACAAATCGATTTCTGGTTTGTACCATGAACAATGAAATGGGAATCCTATTTGTGTGTCTATAACGCAAATTGCACCACACAATAACCCATCAAAGACCTTATAACGATTGCTGGTTACAGCTGACAGCTTTAAAACTTAGTAACCTGAAACCACCACTAAAACTAGGTAGGAGCTAACTTTGGTTCATTCAAACATACTGCAGGGCCGGTAATGACAAAAAGCCTACGCTATAGTTTTGTTATGCATTGCAAGCAGATTTGCAATCAGTTCGTTTCGATTTGGACTGCTAATACCTTTGGATTTGTAATGAAAACGAAGCATATAGCCGTACTAAGGAAATGATTTGCTATACTTTTGAGTTAATCACAACGTTCTTCATGTTAATCCCTCCAGGTCAAACACAACAGTGTCCTATTCAAAAAGGGTGGAGAAAGCATTAACGGCGCAGATCTCAAAGGACTGTACATATTCACACGGGTCGTTCTTCCTATGGTCATGCTATTTCGCTATCACAGCAGTGTCTGCTTGGCTATTTCATTTGTACGCATTTACGAAGACGAAGTGACTCGATACGAAAGCTCTCTCCGATGGATCAAACAGGGTACAACCAAGGATTTTCTGCAGAAGCAACGATTAAGTTTGGCTGACATTTGGGGAATGGCCGACGGGATATCACAAATTTCCGAAGTTGTCGTCCCGCCAAAACCTACATCCGATGGCTCTGAGACGGTGCAGTCAAGTCACTTTTCGACCACTGTGGACGGCGATGTCTTTAAGAGTCAAGAAGAACTTGTACGAACACAGGAACGCGGGCGAAGGGATACCCAGATGAACTGGGAGTTGGCCAAGTTACGTGTAGCCAAAAGTGAAAGAGGTCATCGAATGGCTGAGAGTAAGCTGCAAAAACAGCGAATTTTACACAATCCATTTATTGCGTGTATGAGCGATAAGGGGGCTGGTGGCAAAGTCTATCCAAAAGGACTAGAACCCTTTACAAATTCTCTCAACGTTGTAAAAGAGGAAGTTCCGGCAAAGCAACTAACACCCCAACCAATTCGACGCGACACTCAGACAAACTGGGAAATGGCACGACTACGCGTTGCTGCCTCCGAGGCCGTCCACCGACAGGCTAAGTTGAAATTGGATCAGCGACAGTTGGGTGATCATTCACCGCAAAATGGTCTGAAGGATATTGTTGAAGAGTAGAACGAATCAACTCCAAGCACTGAGCGAAACTTGTAGAACTGGCACTGTAGATACCTGGCTGCGAGTAGCATAGTTACTCTGACTGCATCAAATCGTTTTTCATGTAAAGTGTTCAGTTTGATAATTTGCAGCTGGCTGAACATATACAAACGCAATGTCATATATTTCGAAGAAGATTAACCTTTCAATTGGACGATACATAATCAACAAAATGTGATGGATTCGTTGGGCTTTGCTTACCTGACAGGCATGCAGACGCTTTTGTTACCAAAAAAACATGTTCGATCCAGTTACTCTGTAAAACCGCTTACTGCCGCCGGTAAATCGGTAAATTTAAACTGATGGACCATTAATGACCTATATACAAAGTTTGTGATCACAAGTGGCCATTGATAAATGTCGACAAGCGTTTGGTATGCTGACCATCGTATCCATAAGGCCTTTCCGCCAAGTCCGACTGGACACTCATTTCACACACAGTATCGCAGCTTCGAATTCCTGAACATTTTTCATTCGCTCTTTCTGAACTACTGTCCTTCACGATGCATGACTCACGTGCTTTCTCCGATTTATTAGCCTACAGAATTCATGACATTTCGAGATCTAAGTGTACACCGGTACTTGTTGAGTGTAATCTGAATCTCAACATTTTTCTGACACCGGTTACAAAGAGACAGTATATGAATTCTTATGTTATTACGTGAACCAAGATTTACATTATATACTCACCAGAGAGAGGTCGATTTTAATCATGCATATTGGGAAGCTCTTTAGTTGGGTGGAATTCAACCCGCATAGATGTGCCAAGAGGAACGGATAAGTTTCTGGTTGTTGCATCAGCAGATGCCAGACTAGCCCACCACTCAGGAGTTTAGCAGACGAAAAGCTAAGAACCGAGTCAATAGAGCTCGCTAATCTGCGTGTCAAACAAATATTTCTTGTTGTCTTGATTTGTTATGAGTCTGATTAAGCAAAATTAGGCGTCAGTGAAAAATATACTTTTCCGAGCAAATGAACTGATAGCCTAGCAACCATACAGTTAAGTTGCAAGCTCATTAAAAAGACAATGTTTCATGTTGAACTAAATTTCGGCTAGTTGGCAAGAGTCACTAGCAGTCATGGGTTCGAGCCTCCGCAGAGGACCGAAGGATGCGTACCACTGATGAGCCCCAATAGGGCGAAACGGAGGTCTGGTGCTTTTCCGGAGAGATAGTTGACTTATCTGAATTGTCGGCCGATTGCGACGAACAAAAATACTCACCAAAATCCTTCCACTCAGAAGTAATACAAATTCGCCCGTACGGATTCCACAAAATGCAATGTCGATTCATAGCTGCCGTAACCGGGAAGTCCTGACGCCGGAAGGCCAACCGCTGTCATCTGCATGGTAGGTGCCTGCATGGCAGTGGAGGATGGGTCGGGCTATATCGCATCTAGCTAACAATTCGTGATAGTCGGATACCGTCCTCCATGGCGCAGTTGCATAAGCTGCGGGCTAGTTGGCAAGAGCCACTAGCAGTCATGGGTTCGATCCTCCGCAGAGGACCGAAGGATGCGCACCACTGATGAGCCCCAATAGGGCGAAACAGCCGTCTGGTGCTTTTCCGGATAGCTTGTTGACTTAGCTAAATGTTCGGCTGATTGCGACGAACAGTAATACTCAACAAAATCCTTCCACTCAGAAGTAATTAGATCGTTTATTTTGTTAGAGGTGTGTAACTCTTAAGGATGATATACAAAATGAAAACCAACTGCAAGTTACGTCAAAATTCAGATGCAACTTTGACTTTGTACATAGCAATGCTCCGTAGTGTTTGCCTCCCTATCGATATCCAGGCTACGTTGTACGCAAAGGAGAGTAAAGACAAGTGAAGTCAAGAAAAGCTTTATGCATTTTCATCATTTTACACTATTCACCACAAATGTGATGTAAACACCATCAGTAAAGATGTGAATTTTACAATTTTAAATGCTAATTGGGTAAAGAGTGCAAATATGTCATTTAACTGAAAAGTCCCGAATTTTGAGCAACGACCGCACATTGATTGAACGAATTATAAGATTCTTCTTCTGGTTGATGTGGCCAACATTTGTTAAAGCGTTTAGTGATAGCTATTTTCAGTTGGATAAAAGCAACAAACCGCGAATTTTGCGCGGCGACGCAGATACTTTTTCAAAGAATAGGTGGAGTTGCGGGATCTCGGTGACCTTGAGATTGTCCAGCCAAAGAGTTCGTCAAAGATTCAAATAAAATTGATACGTTTGCCGTAGATAGGGCAAAATACGATGTTTTTGGGGAGAGCAGCAACGGCCAATTTAAAGGTCCCCCCTGGTGTCGTTCAAGTATGCATAATTTTCGGAAGCAGCTGGTCCGACTAGCACGAGTGTAAGCTAAAGCACATGAGTGTCATAATCAGCTTATCTAACAATCTGTTTTGGACCTTCACCTTTGCAAAACGGAACTAATGGGTACTAACAGACATCAGTGAGATGGGAACTGAAAGGCTATCAGTGGGAGTAACGCGTAACGGTTGCAATAGGTTCTATCAAACTAAACGCGTTTTTCATTCTCTTTTCAGATTCTACGCGAAACTGGTGTTGTACGTTAGGGTTGCATCGTTTCGCAAAAGGATTGACTAATGACCCACTACGGACAAAAATGTGAATGCCTCATACATTCCGCAAACCGTTCCAACAGAATTTGGCACTCTAGATAACAGTCATACAATCCAAATGCAACTGCCTCATTGACGACGCATTGAATAATTCCTTCTGCGGTACGCACGTGCGTTTTGAGAGTTGTTCGTTCAACCGCCTTGGATGATGCTTACTGCGTGGACACCGGGAAGGGTTGTTCTTTCTGGGACGTTTCGTAGGACTTTTGGCGACAGTGTACCAGTTGGATGAGGGAGCTATCGAGAAGGCATATGTAGTGCATCCAGATGTGAAGACGGCGTGGTTTCTTCGGGAATAGATTTCTGTGGTAGCCACACTCTAATAAGGCAGTAGTTTGGGCAAGACAGTCTGCTATGGTACTCCGACAAATCTAGGACGTGTCAGTTTGCTACCTGCTTTATGGCGATGAAACACTGGTATATTTGTGAAACTCATACATCCACATTTACCCCGGAAGCGGCAACCCATTTGATCAGCGTTTTAATTGTTAGGGAAACCGTTGTCTGTGTTTAAGGCGCAGTTTGATTAATGCTAGTGTTTTGTCGCTTACCAATTGCATTACAAAACAAAACAAAACAAAATCATAGATAGTTCGGAAAGTACTTTGGTTTTTTCGATTTACGTTTTTGTTATTTTTTCACAACAAACTTCACACTTAATCCGTATGGTCATTATACATTATGACATGATGTAGCAACTTGTCTACGCAGAAGGTCTATTTATTCTACGTAGTAGTTATTGGCTAGTACCGTTTCAACTTTGGGAACTGAAAAACAGTACTTTCGGTATGTTTTACTTTTTATAATCGAAAAGTTAAATATCCTGTTCAAGCAAGAAAAATATTATCGGATGTGCATGGTGAAGGTGTAATGACAGAACGCCGGTGCAAAAAATAACGTGCAATTTTATCCGGTAGTTAATTAACTGATTGATCAATCAATTTTCATTGCTTGATGTAAAGCAGCGAACAACAACTCGTAAGATTGCTGGGAGACTAAATTTATTGACTTCGACCGTTCATGGTCATTTGAAACGCCTAGGTTTCATCTCAAAGCTCGACATATGAGTTCCTCATGTTCTTACGGAAATAAATTTGTGGCGTCGCGTTGATGTCGTTGATTTACTTCTCAAACCTTAAGAAACTGATCCATTTTTGAAGCACATCATCACTGGGGGCGAGAAATTGATTGTCTACAACAATGTTAAACGCAAGAGATTATGGAGTACAAAAACGTGAACCGGTGCAAACCACTTGGAACGCCGATATTCATCAAAAAATATGGTGCTGTCTGTTGGTGGGATTTCAAAGGAATCGTTTTTTATTCTACTTCTACCGGACAACATAACGATCAATTCTAAAGTGTACTGTCATCAGCACAACAAAATGAATGATTCACAAGCATCAAGGCCAATATTAATCAATGGAAATGGTGTAGTGTTACACCAAGGTAATGCGAGACCTGATACAAGTTTGGTAACTCGCCAAAAGCTTTACAGCTTGGATAGGATACACTACCACACCCACCATGTTCTCTACCTCTGGCACCTTCTGATTATTACTTGTTCCCAGCTCTATAAAATGTTTAAGATGGTAAAACATTTACTTAAATGAGGTCAAAATCATCTGGATCAGTTTTTGCTCGCGAAGAATAAAACATATGTAGGCGTTGGGTCATGCCACTGCCAGAAAGATGTCAAAGGGTATTGGAGCAGAATGAACAATATAAAATACAGTAAACTATTTATTCATTATATGAAAGTCATCATTCATTTTCCTACAAAAAACGAAATAACTTTCCGAAAAACCTAATAGAAATTTATGCAGTTAGTTGCTTATACGACCGTTCCGCGTCCTAGGATGCCGAAGGCTTTTACAGAAGAACCTCAGTGCAGACCATTCCGAAAAGGTAATCCAAGGTGGCTGGTGGAGCTACTAGTTTAAATGGAGAAAGAAAAAGAGAACGAATTTCGCACATTGACCGAGATGATTTTGGTGGAGCGTGCAAATTTGGCAAATTTCCTTTGTTCCGTTCACAAAATTACTTACCCTCACGCTTTCGGCAATTTTTGCATTTGTTTTTTCTTCCCAATCCATACAATCTTCAAGGACATGATAACCTATACTCATGATATTTTAACCACCCTATGGGTTTCTACTCCACTGAACGTCACGTTTTTCACGGCCAAACTATAAACAATATACTGAAGTGGATCTACGAGAAGCACAATCATTGTACTAAAAACACTGTGCTGGATGGAAGGTTGCTCTATGAAAGAAAACATTGCGGAGTATGAGTATACCCATCATAATAAGCTCAAATGTC